TCAGCAAAATCGTCTGCTTCGGTGCTCAGCCGTCCTTTGTAGCTTCCATCCACACGCTACCATATCTTCCTTTATCTCCTTGCAGAGGATGAAGTACGATCCATCAACCTCTTCTGCTGCTTTCATGGATCAAAACCATCCTCTGCTATCAGATGTCGGGAATCAAGCCTTTATCAGGAGAAACTGGCAACTCTCCCAGGCACCCGGCTTGATCTCCTGTTGACCTCCCTGTCTGCAATTCCCCAGCAAGATCCAGGCAGAAGTCGCAATAGGCGATCCTTCTCAGCGTGAGAAGAACACACCCCTCTTTCCTGCCCCCCCCCCGGGCAGCGGAAAGAGATAGACAGAAAATTTATTTACATGCCTTTATTTCTGTCTTTGCAGCGTTACAAAAAACATGACTGCTCTCTTCAAATTCCAGCAGTCGAGAGCTTAACTCCTCCTGTACTTCCTGTACAGCTCATATTACACTTTGAGCTATTTCCGGTGCTTCACACTGTGAATAGACTGTCCCTCTGTTTCCCACAGAACAGTCCCAACATTCCCATTATGTTTTGCTTTCAAGCTACCAGCAGCTCGCGGCTGCATTGCTTCAATATCGTAACAACATTACGTAGAGGGACCTTGCTTAAGAAGCTGAAATGTTGGAGAGGGACAGGAAAAGTAAGGTTTCTGCATCAAGGAACTGGCATGTCACTTGGAAAGTGGCCTATTTTTCAGTCTGAAGGGAAAATATTTGGGATTTATCCTTGACAACAATGGTGAAGTTTCTGAGATTTAAGGGTTTGTTTTATTTAGACATATATTTTGCATATGCTTTAACCTACTTTTATTTTAATGTTGACACTTAAGTAGCTTTAGCAAAATAAATTCAAATGTCTGTTTTAAGTATACTTTTCAAGAGTGAGTTCAAAATGTAAAGTATAGTTGGAAGAGGAGTAACCTTTGTCCTCTCTTTTGGTATGGATTTTGGACTAATACAATAAAATTATCTTCATTGAGTGGTTAATCTCAAAAAGATACTTCTCTCTCTCTCTCCAGTTGATAAAGGTGAATTGGTGAAAACCATCAAAGAATGTGGCCCTGATAATATGATAGGGGCATGTGGAATGAAACCATCAGATGCAACGAAACTGAGAATGTCGTGCTGTGAAACTGACTTATGTTTTGACTGATTTTACTATTCTGTTCCTAAACTGCTCCTCCTTCCTGTTCCAGAGAAGAGGACCACCCATTTGTGTCCACTCATTTATGCATTCCTTCACTGTAACTTCTCCCCACAAAAGTGTGCAGTTGACTGCAGCAAGAGGGTGGGATGGGATGTTCCTTGATGACTTCATAGACACCTACCAAGCAGTGCTTTACACTGTCTACTCTTACCTTCCCCACACCTGACCTCATATGAAGTCAGGCCTAGGGTGGATGTGGGTTGGGGTGGGGGTCTTCTGAAATAGCCTCTTGTGCCAAATGGGGACGACTTGAATACTTCCTTATGCCCAGAGACCAGAGTTCCCCTCCCTTGCTAGAACTGGGCAAACCACAGAAAAGGTTATCCAAAACATTCGCTTGTGTTAGGGATGGTGACGAGATTCATTAAACAAGAGGGCGAACTTGGATGGTCTCTGCCTGCTTGTGAGCAAAACCATCTGCCTCAAGTCATAGGACAGTTTTCTATCTTGGTCTGTTCTCTGTCTGAGTCTCATGATTCTCTGCAAACTCTGAATGATCATGAGTCCCATTCCTAGAGAGGGATCGTACATTTGGCATAACAGGCATCTGCCCTAATTCTGACAGGACCCTGGTTATTTATCAGCTCTTAACTACGTTCTTAGAACATCTCATTCCACACAGTCAGTCAAGATGGTTGGGGGGAGTCTGGAACCACTTCTATTTGGACTCTCCTGAGTCCTGTCCTTTGGATTCTCAATTCATCTCTTCCTGGAGCTCAGGGAACCCCTCTGTTCTTCCCAACCCCTCCTTGGTTGGAGATTTCAAATGTTCTCTTTTCTCTTTCCTGAACATTGCAATGTAACTGGAACATAGCAAAGCTTTTAAGTAGTGTGGACTGGTGGGAGTTCTAGGTGGCCAATCACGATAGAGTTCAATAATAATAGTTAAAACGATTGCTACTTTTGCATGCAGAAATAACGTGAGAGTAATACCTTGTAATATTGTTTTATCAGATGCTTCAATGGTTACTTTCAATAAAGTTTGCAAGTGAACTTGTGGTCTATATTTTGCTTCCAGTCTGTCATCTGTCATCTGGCTTCAAAATGGTGTCCAAATGTATGCAAACACAGGAAAAATCAAGAAGGTTCCTCCCAGCCTCATATAATAAGTGTCTTGTGAATTGGAAGGAACAGGCGTTCTTTTCACATAAGATAGTACAGTGGTACCTCAGGATAAGTACATAATTCATTCCGGAGGTCCACACTTAACCTGAAACTGTTCTTAACCTGAAGCACCACTTTAGCAAAGGGGCCTCCTGCTGCTGCCGCACCGCCGGAGCACGATTTCTGTTCTCTTCCGGAAGCAAAGTTCTTAACCTGAATCACTATTTCTGGGTTAGTGGAGTCTGTAACCTGAAGCGTATGTAACCTGAAGCGTATGTAACCCGAGGTACCACTGTATCAGGTGGGCATGGAGGTCTAGGACACTGTGTTCAACACTGGTCCCTCCGCCCATTAGGAGAACCACTGCCCTCACCCCCCTTGCATTTCAGAGATACCCCAGCATATTGCCCAAAGCCTCATGCACTTTCCAAACCCACCAGGATCGGGTGAGATGAGATGCCCCCCGGCCGTATACAATGGATGCATTGAACCTGATTCTTCAAACATGAGGAACATCTTCCTTACCATAAGTTAAGCTACTACTGCTATTTGTTGCCTGTTTCTTTTTCTGCCAAGGGACAAATGGGTGCGACCATCTCAGTACAGCAAACCCTTTGCAAAGAGTGTAGACAACGGATTAACCAGAAAAGTATTCAGGACTCTTTCTACATTGAAATACATTATTGGACGTTGAGGGGAACAGAAAGAGCGTAGTTTGGGAATCCAGTGGAAAGTTGGGGTTCAGCTACATTAGTAAAGAAAAAATGCTTCATATACTTTATAACATCGTGCCACCAGATGGTGCTGTGGAATCCCATCCCATTTAATAAATCATTATTATTATTATTATTATTATTATTATTATTATTATTATTATTATTATTCTGCAGGCTGGTTGAGAGTTTCCTGCTCGGCACATTGTACTATTACAATTGAAACCTGGAGCCGGACAGAAAACCCTCATAAGATAGCATCAGTCATCCGTTGAGGTCTGCGACATTCTGTACAGCATGCAGCTGATTTCTCAGCCCATTTGGTTTTGTCCTAGCAACCAGCACTTTATGCCTGAAAGGGCCCAAGACAACCATCGCCTTCACTCTCCGCTGCCCATCCGAGAGACCCAAGGATGCTGCCAGAAACAGGTGTTCCTTCCACGTTAGATATTATCAGGTGGCTACAGAGGTCCGGGACATTCTGTACAACATTTGGCTATACCTCAGTCGATCGGAATTTCTCCTAACAATCAGCACATTTATGCCCCCAATACTGAAAGGCAGCCACTCGCCCACCTTTGTTGTTCCTCAGACACCCCAGCATGTTGCCAGAGGCTTCTGGTACCCACCAACCCCATCAGGATCAGGTGCCCTGAGATGCTAATAAGGTTCCTATTGGCTTTATATAATGGCTGGTTCCTCAAGCCAAGCAACTTGTTGTTTTTCAGAAGCTGACCTGTTGCCACTAGTTATTACCAGGTTTCCCTATCCAGAGCAAGATTGGGTTTTCTAACAAGTCGCATCCTGGCTATAGCAGTCAAAAGTCAGAGTACAGATTTCGGCTTCTGCCCATAGTTCTCTCAACTGCAACACTTGACCTACTCCCCTGCAAGTGAAGAGTTGCCATTCATTCCAATCAGAGGAAAGGCAATCAATGCACTTGGGAACAGTGGTAGCAAAACTTGCCCTTCAGCTGATGGTGGTAAATTGATACTTTGCCACATGAATCAACTGATAACTTGTTAAACTGGCATCTATAACCAATGCTGTGGAGCCACAAAAATCCATCAGGAGGCAAACTAATGGCATGGGCTCACCTGCTTTGATTTCCGGGTCCTATGTCTTTGAACATGGTCTAAGATGGATGCAATATTAAAGGACCATGGGAAGTGAAGGACACGAGGCAGGAGTTGGTAATGCAGGTGAGCTGTGCATAAGCAAGCTGCCAGCTCGCTCTGCCGAAGCTCTTTTTATTAGCACAATATGCAAAACCAGTTAGATAGATTTTGGACTGTGATCTTTACACATCTTCCAATCCTGAGATCAAGGGGTGGTACAAAGTTATTTTGGCACCTGTTTCCACTGTGTCATTTCCCCCTTGAACCATGTATGACGAAGGAGACAAAGGTCACAGACAGGGCACAGCAGACCACTAAGAGAGCAAAGGTTAGATAGAGGGCATGATGTTCAGACAGCTGTGGCTATGTCTGCGGGTGGAAGTGTGCTCCACACCCAGCAGGTGGAAGTGCGCTTCCCACCCGGTGATCATTCCTTCACCATGTATCACTCACAGAAGGTGGACAGAAAAACATACTTGTGCACACCTTTCATACTGCTGTGCGTAGCAACAGAATAAAAAAGTGAGCTCCTTCTAACAGAACATTTTAGCAATATGGATGATCAAGCCAGAATGCAGGCTATTTGAGTATTGGTTCCTCAAAACATCTTCGTGTCACAATTGAAACCCAGAGCTGAACAGGAAACTCAATGAAAGGAGCAAGCAATTCTTCCACAAAAGATGAGATCTGGGACGTTCTGTGCAGCATTCAGCTGATCCCTCAGTCCATTTGGATTTGTCCTAACAACCAGCACTTTGTGCCTGAAATGGCCCAAGGCAACCACTGCCTTCATCGTTGCTATTCTTCACTGTCAACCCAGGATATTGCCAGAGGCTCATGGGACCTTTAAAGGCCACCAGGATGAGACAAGAAGTCCAGAACGTTGCTTTCGGCCTTATATAATGGATGTCTTGAACTAGGCACCTCAATCTGCGTAGTGTCTGCCCTGAAAGCCTGCAATTTCTCAGCTGCTAGCCTTCCAAAGCTGTCTCTCCATACAAAAGGCATTCCAATGGAGCAGAGCTTGTTTCTTGGTAATCAAAGGCCACGTCTGATTCAGGTCTGGCTGCTTACATTCTGTGTTCTGCTTTTGCTCAGGACTGGTGGTAAGTATTGCCCCCATTCCCCATCCCAAAATAGGTAAAACAAGAATAAGACACTGCTTTACATAGGTAAAACTATAGGTAAAATCTAGGAGCAACTGGTGGGGATGTACTTTGGGGCAAGAGTGGAATACATGCCTCCTAAAGTGGGGACGTGATAGTTCAGTGTTGGAGCACATGCCTTCCATTGAGAAAGCCCCTAGTCAATCCCCTACCTAACATCTCCAGGTGAACATTTCAGTGAGAAGAGAGTGAAGCATCCTGATTATGGGGCAAAATAGACAAGGCAGCTCCCTGTGTTTGTAGAAGTGAATCAAATTACCCATCTCTTGTATGTGTATAGCTGGGTAGATTCAGGGCTCATGCACACTGCTGCTCATCCTGTGCTTTTGAGGAAAGAGCCAGGCGGTTTTTCCATTTGACTCACCACTTTCCTGAGGAAAACCCACTGTTTGTGGCTGAATCCAAGCACATTAAACCGCAGAAAACCCTACTGACGATTGTTTCAATTCAGCAGATCCAGTTCTTAAGGTGAAATCGTGTACCTTGGAGCCCATTTCAGGGGAGAGTTCAATTTCCCTTTTACCTGTGAAAGGAAGCTGCTTTTCTCCTGCCTCCTGATGAAAACATGAACACTGCAAGTTGCAGGACAGATTGTGCCATCTTTGGAAAAGAGGGTCTAGTTGTCTAGGTGGAAGGTGTTTTGCTAGTCTCAGGGCACAGGAGCTTGCCACAAACAATTTCCATCTCTTAATCTATACACAGAGATGCAAGTTTAGTTGGACATTGAATATTGATTGGTCCCTTCACAAACGAAATGCTGTCTATTACAACAGACGCTGTGAAATGCAGACTGTGCTCTTCAAAGGGGCCTGGCAAGCCATGCGAACCGAAGGAGAAGACATGTATGGGACCATTCTGCCTGAAGATAGAAATATTTTCAGGTAATAAAAAAATTGGACATGTATCTTTCATAAATGTTCATTTTATTTTAATGTTGACATTTTAGTAGTTTTAGCAAAATAAATTCAAAATTCTATTTAAGTGCATATTTTTAAATGAAGTTTAAAATGTGGGGAAAGCTTTTCTCTCTCTTGATATAGACTATGGACTAATTCAGTAAAATTGTCTTCATTCACTAGCTGGTATCAACCTAAGTACTTATCTATCTCTCTCCAGGACAAAATGGCAAATTGACTAATTACGTCAAAGAATGTGGTGAAGACAGTTCGAAAAAACTCTGTGGGACAGAGGTGACATCGGGAGATAAAAAGAAAGTATCATGCTGTAATAGCGACTTATGTTTTGACTGATCTTACTATTCTATTCTAAAGTTGTTTTCGCCTATCCATGTAAAAGGGTGGATAACGAATCTTTCCCCTTTGATAGACATAATATTAGAACGTTTCATATCATTTCCTTTCGATGGAGCCCAGGTCTTCCTCCTGGCATTGCAATTCAAATGACAGACAAAAGCCCCATGCAGACATTCTGATGCCACGTCTAATAATTCAGGGAATGTTCCACACCCAACAGCCTCCCGTGCTCACTCATTTATGCACTCCTTCACTGTCTGATATTTTGAAAAGTAAGTTCCTCTTGCAAAAGTGCATAATTGACTTGGGTATTGGGGTGGAATGGGTCATTTCTTGGAGAGTTGATGGACATGTACCAAGCAGTGATTTGCACTGTCTATAGGATTTGTGGGTCTCTTTATCACTCCCCATCCCTGCTTGAACTTGGCAAATCACAGAAGATGTTATCAACTACAATAACCTGTGCTAGGGATGGTGACAATTCCTGTCTTCCTGGAGCTCATGGAACCCTGTTCTTCCCAACATCTCCTTGGTTGGAGAGTTTGAATGTTTTCTGTTCTCTTTCTTGAACATTGCAATGAAACTGGAATGTAGGAAAGCTTTTAAGTAGTTTGGACTGGTGGGAGTTCTAGGTGGCCAACCATGATAGCGTTCAATAATAATAGTTAAAATCACTGCTAGTTTTGCATGCAGTAATAATGCGAAAATAATAGTTTGTATTATTTGTTGTACCTTACGCATCAATTATTTCTTTCAATAAAATTTAAAAATGAAGTTGCGGTCTGTATTCTATTTTGGCTCCTGTGTAATTACTGTATCTTGATCACAAAAGAAATCACTGTACCTCATTTTTTCCTTTCCTCAAAATTGAGGAAATCTTAATTATATGGGCCATATCCCATGCTTTGCAACAGATTTCTGTGCTCATCTGCATTTTCTTTCCCTCTATGGGCCCGTCCAGCTTCCAGAAGACACAGGCAAGAATACGACAGGGCAGAACAAACAATGCAGATCCTCCATTCTGCATAACACTCTTGCATCGTATATGGCAGTGTTCAAATAGAATCCCATACACAAATCACATGAGCCCAGTCAGCATCTGGAAACATTAACATAACCGTAGCATATTAGTCTGTTTCTCCAGGTCTTTGCACTCAGATTAAAAAAGGGGGGGAGGCTCAGTCAACTGACTAACCAGCCAACCTTCCTGTGTTGTTGTTGTTGTTTAGTTGTTTAGTTGTGTCCAACTCTTTGTGACCCCATGGACCAGAGCATGCCAGGCACTCCTGTCTTCTACTGCCTCCCACAGTTTGGTCAAACTCATGCTGGTAGCTTCAGCAACACTGTCCAACCATCTCGTCCTCTGTCGTCCCCTTCTCCTTGTGCCCTCCATCTTTCCCAACATCAGGGTCTTTTCCAGGGAGTCTTCTCTTCTCATGAGGTGGCCAAAGTATTGGAGCCTCAGCTTCACGCATCTGTCCTTCCAGTGAGCACTCAGGGCTGATTTCCTGAGCCAACCTTCCACTTCTTCCCAATTAAAAGCATCAGCTCATATTGGATGCGGTTTGGCTCCAAGAAATATGGAGGTGGCCAGAATATCTGTTCATGGGATTGCCAGGAATGAGAGTCGGTCTTGCAAATCTGTTCTCTCCATGTCCCACATCTTTGAGTAAAGTTGAAGATACGTGCAATATCAAAGGACCACTTATTTATCACTCATGGAGAACAGAAACACATGGCTGTGCACATCATTCATTCCACTATGAGCAGCAGTGAGATACAAAAGAAAGCTGCTAACACAATGATTCGGGAATATGGGCTGGACAGAAGTCACCCATTGTGTATCATCTGCAGGCTGGTTGAGAGTTGCCTGCTTGGCACATCTTCCTATTACAACTGAAACCTGGAGCTGAACAGAAAAACCCTCGTAAGATAGCATGAGGTCCGCGACATTCTGTACTGCATGCAGCTGATTCCTCAGCGCATTTGGATTTGTCCTAACAATCAGTACTTTATGCCTGAAAGGGCCCAAGACAACCATCGCCTTCACTCTCTGCTGCCCATCTGAGTGACCCAAGCATATTGCCAGAGGCTCCTTGGACCTTTCAAGGCCACCAGGATGAGGCAAGAAGCCAAGAGGGTTCCTCCCAGCCGTATATAATGGATATCTTGAACCCGGCTCCTCAGACTGAACAGCGTGTTCCTGCCTGCCCTGAAAACCTGCGGTTTCTCAGCTGCTAGCCTTTGAAAGCTGTCTCTCCATACAAAAGGCATTCCAATGGGGCAGGGCTTGTTTCTTGGTAATCGAAGGCCACGTCTGCTTCAGGTCTGGCTACTTACCTTCTGTGTTCTGCTTTGCCTCAGGACTGGAGGTAAGTATTGCCTCCATCCCCCATCCCAGGAGATTTAAAAGAAGAATAAGCCACTGTTTTAGATAGTTTGAATCTATTAGTAGCAGGAGAGAGATACTTTGGGGTGGTAGGGAGGAAATGCCTTCTGCCATAAGTTTGCAATAATTTGGTGTTATGGTACATGCTTTCATGCAGAAAGCCCCAGGTTAATCCCTTAGCATCTCCAGTCCAAAGGTTTCAGGAGAAGAGGGTGGGACATCTTGATACTCTGGGAACAATAATGGACAGCTGGCTTGAAATGCTGGAAGGCAGCTCTGTATGTATGTAGGAGTTAATCAGGCTGCCCAACGCCTGGTATATGTGTAGGACGCGGGTGGTGTTGTGGTCTAAACCACTGAGCATCTTAGGTTTGCCGACTGGAAGGTGTGGTGGGTTGAGCTCCCATTGCTCTGTCCCAGGTGTTGCCAACCTAGCAGTTTAAAAACACACCAGTGCAAGTAGATAAATAGGGGTGAGATTAGAGCTCATTTCAGGATAGAGTTAAGCTTCCGTTGAGGGAGAAAGCTGCTTTTCTTCTGGGAGCGCCATCTTTGGAAAAAAGAGGATTCCCTTGTCTGGGTGGAATGTGTTGCTAGATTAAGGGCACAGGAGCATGCTATGAATCTCCATAGAGTTTTCTCATCCGCAGAGATGTCAATTTTGTCCGACTTTCCATGGGGAAAAGAATCCTAATGCTCTAGGATCTATTCTGACAGCTATGTGTGCCCACAGCATTTTGGTGGGTTGGGATATTGAAAATCTTTTGGTCCCATCCCAAATTAAAGAAAGGGGTTTCGCTTGGTACTATGCTTTGCAGTACATCCAGGATAGAAAATTGATATAAATGAGGGAAGTGGTAGGAGTCCCCGGGCTTCAGACTCCTCGTCTACCTCCTAATGAAGCCCCGGATTTAGTGACCGATGGGTGAAGGTGATGCTTTCATGGATAAACAGTAAAACAAATTTTTGTGCCTCCTACAGCAGATGCTGTAAAATGCAGAAAATGCATGCCAACAGGTCATGACAAGCCATGTGGATCAAAGGCGAAGACATGTGAGGGACCATTCTGTGTAATGACAGAAAGATTGTCAGGTAAAGAGGCTTTTCTGTCTATGTTCCTCCTTTTTTATGATGTGACTAGGATTTGCCTCTTCTGTGCTCTGGTAACCTCTTCATTTCTCCGATGAAAATGGGAATATCCCATTCCACAATGGTAATTATACTATTTATACCGCACACATCTTACTGGGTTGCCCCAGCCACTCTGGGCAGCTTCCAACATGCATAAAAACATAATAAAACATTAAACTTTTTTTTTTTTAAACTTCCCCATATAGGATTGCCTTCAGATTGCTTGGGAGTCCTCCATACTCTCCAACATTTCTCCAATGAAAATAGGCACATCCTAAGATAAAGTGGGGCATTCCAGAATCAAATCAGAAACCGGCTTCTCTAAATCAGGGACGTCCCTAGGAAATAGGGACACTTCCAGTGTCCGCTAGTTTAGACTACTGCAGTGCATTATACGTGGCGCTGCCTTTGAAGACAATTAGGAAAATGCAGCTGGTCCAGAATTCAGTGTGGGGATGTTTAGGATAGTTGGCAAGGAAATATTTCTTAAGTGTTATCCTTCCTTCACTCCCACTAGTGAGTGATGTAGCAGAGCAAATCCCCTTCTGTACTCATGGAAGCTAGTTGATAGATTCCTTTGAATCTCTACAAACTGACTAACCCAATGTGGTTTGCTCAGATGGATAATTTCTGGTGTCTCCTTTTCTCCCTCTTAAAATACAATAAATACTGACAAGTCTGACTTTAAAAGTCTAACAATAATTTTACTCACAAGTTGTTCACAGTACACATCCTGGAAGGCAGGCTTTAAGCTTCAGGTTACAAACATACAACGTGGCTTACATCCTTTGTGAGGATGGGCCCAAGTGCTGCTGGCTGAGAGCCAGCAGCCAAAAATGGAGGGGACTGAACTGAGAGTTGAATCGAACAAAACTGAGACAAAATGGCTGCGTGACTCTCCCCATATGTATTAACCTCCTGGACCCTGCAATCATCCTCTGAGGCGCTTCTCCATGTGGTTCCTCTGCAGGAAGTCTGGAGGGTGGTAATACGAGAACAATCCATTTCTGAGGTGGCCCCCTATGTGCGGAATGCTCTCGCCAGAGAGACTCTCCTGGCACCATTGTTATACAACTTTAGATGCCAAGCAAAAACATTCCCCTCCTCCCAGACCTTTGGCTAATTAAACAATCTATGGCCTTTAAAAATGTGGGGGTTTTTTGTTTTGTTTTCATTTGCTATTATGGTATGTATGTTTGTGTTTTTATATTGTAAGGCACTCAGTGATCTTTGGATGAAGGGTGGTATGCAGAGTTAATAAAGAATGAGAATGAGAATAAGAATAATCATGAGCAGATCACGATTAATGCTCAATAAATGGAAGAGCCCAAAGTTTTGCTAGTTCATAATAAAATTACTGTACATAATAAATTTACTACAGCAGTTCTGATTTTCTGGTCAGGCTCTGAATTCTCTTGGTAATGTAAGGAGTAACATCTTTTAACAAATTGGTTCATGAACAAATTGACAGAGCTGTCCTTTCCTTGTCAAATATTGTGCATTGCTTGACAAGTGCAAAGTTGCAGCAGCAATGTGAGAAACACTGGGCATTTTCAATGAATGGAGCATTAGAAAGCTTTTCCCCAACTCCATTTTGAACACATGGATTCAGTTGTGCAGGTGGGGAGATTCATGGACATATCACTGCAAGACAGACTGTGCAACAGTCTTCAAGCAGTACTGGAAGAGCTGCTTCATTAGAGTCTTGAATGCCAGCTATAGTCTTATATTAAGCTGCATTACGTAGAGGGACCTTACTTAAGAAGATGAAATGTTGGAGAGGGACAGGAAAAGTGAAGTTTCTGCTTCAAGGAACTAACTGGCATGTCACTTGGAAAGTAGCCTATTTTTCAGTCTGAAGGAAAGGTATTTGGGATTTATCCTAGGCAACAGTGGTGGAGATTCTGAGATTTAAGGGTTTGTTTTATTTAGACATGTATTTTGCATATGTTTTAACTTTATTTTATTTTAATGTTGACACTTTAGTAATTTTAGAAGGGGGGGAAATCAGTTTTAGGTATGCATTTGTCAGTGGAGCTTAAAATGGAATTTATTTCAATGTGCTATGAGCTTTGTCTTTTCTTTTGGTATGAACTATGTGTTAGGATTGTCCTACTCATGTGTAGGACCCTGGTAGAGACACAGGCCCGACTGGCATGTTCTCTCCCTCCTGGTCTGTCTGGAGCTTCAAAAGCTTTCTCCAGCCCGAACATCACCATACCAAGTGGCATTAGCACGCTTAGGAACAGCAGGGTGTTAGCAGTTTGCTTAACAAACTCAGTAGCACAGCATTTTGGCCACACTACTTTTATTTACAGATAATACACTTGGAGCATTCTGACTTAGCTCCTTCCTCTTTCTCATCAGACAGAAAAGAGAAAGAACAAAGGACAATAGTCCCACATCACGGAAACACAGTAACATACACATCCTGTCTCTGTCACTTCCCACACTGTGGAATGAAAACGTACACCGTCATGTGATAGAAAACAATCCCATGACTGCAAACATGGAGCAGGAATCCTAACACTATGGACTCCACTCACCAGTTAGCATCAGCATAAGCACTTCTCTTTCTCTCGCCAGGTCAAAACCAAAACTTGAAGATCATGAAATTCTGTGGCAAAGCTGAGAATAAACATCTCTGTGGAACAGAAACGAAAAAGGGAGATAAACTTAAAGTACATTGCTGTGAAACTGACTTCTGTTTTGACTGATTTTACTGTTGTATTCTTGTATTGTTTTAACCCATCCAGAAACCTCATGGTAAAGGGTGGGTAGCCAATCTTTCTCCTTCTCTTTCACTTTCTCCTTTGAAAGACATAATATTAGAACATTTCATATCCTTTGCTTTTGACGGATGCCTCCTGCAAACACAGAAAACACAGAAAAACACAGAAAAAAACAGAGAGCAAACACAGAAAAGCAACAAACCCCAACCCGAGACTGTGATTCTACCACTGCAACCACTAGTAAACTACTCACAGTAATGGAAATAACAATAACACTAATAATAATAAATTTGTTCCCCAATAATAATAATAATAATAATAATAATAATAATAATAATAATAAAAATTTGTTCCCCAATCAATAATAATAATAATAAATTTGTTCCCCAATCAATAATAATAGTTAAAATTACTGCTAGTTTTGCATGCAGAAAAAAATGTGAGAATAATAGCTTGCAATATTTGTTGTACCTTACGCGACAATGCTTTCCTTCAATAAAGTTTAAAAATGAAGTTGTGGTCTGTGTTCTATTTTGATTCCTGTGTAATTTTTGTATCTTGATCACACAAGAAATCCCTGTACCTTATATTTTCTGTTCCTGCCTATTTTAAAAGTATGGGCCATATTTCATGCTTTGCAACAGACTTCTGTGCTCAGCAGCAGTTCCTCTCCCTCTCCTGCTTTCCCTCCAGCAAACACAGACAAAAATACAACAATGCAGATCCTCCATTCTGCACAACACTCTTGCATCATAAATGACAGTCTTCAAATAGAATCCCAAACACAAATCACATGAGCCCAGTCAGCATCTGGAAATATTAACATAACCATAGCATGTTAGTATGTTTCTCCAAGTTTTTGCACTCAGATTCCAAAATAAAAGGGCCTCAGTCAACTGACTGACCAGCCAACCTTCCACCTCTCGCCAGTTACCACTGTAAGGTCACTGTTGTTTCTCTCTCCTGCAATTTTTACCCATATCCTCATAATCTGCTTTCCATGCTCCAGTTTGCACATTTTTTTACATATAATGCTGCTACTCCTCCCTTCCTGTTTGGTCTATTCCTTTTCTTTTGTTTTTTATAACTATTATATTGGTTTTTACCATTTTTTTTCAAACATAACATCATTCTTAAATAACAAGAACAACAACATTTGGCTGTATAAGCCTGAGACTCCCCTTCCCTTCGGCTAATGGTCTATTCCTTTTGAACAGGTTATACCTCTCAATTGCTATGTTCCACTCACGAGACTCATCCCAATAGGTTTCAGTAATGCCTAGTAGGTAATATTTGCCATCCTGTATTAAAAGCTCCAATTTATCTTGCTTGTTTCCCATACTCTGTGCATTAGTATAGAGACAACTAAGACCATTAGTCGTTCCCTCCAGCTGCTTCCTTCTTTTGCTTGCTTGCCCTTTAGTAGGTTTCTGTTTCCTGTGCATCCATGAAGCACCAGCACCCAGCACCAGTTGTTCTTTGTCATCTGTAAAGTTCTTTCCCTCCTTCTCAGGATCAAGTTTAAAGCTCTCCTAATCAGGTTCGCGAGGCTCTTAGCAAACATATTCTTGTGAGGTGCACTCTATCTCTTGCCACAAATCCTTCTTCAAGGAAGCAGAGATCACAGTCCAAGAAGCCACACCCTTCCTGATGACATCACCTCTGTAGTTTCATGGATCAGGGGAATGCTGTAGGTGTAATGTACCCTGATTTCAGTAATGCTTTTCAAAAAATCTCCAGTGATAGTTTTGTGGAGAAGTTGGTAAGATGTGGACTAGTCAATCAGCCCGCTACAAATTCACCTAAGCCCAAAGAACACTTACTAATATTTGGATTTCCATGGGCAAGATAAAGTGATTTAACAATTTTAAGAAGAAACTATTTTATTATTCTTTCTGGTTATGGGATCACTGGGAACAGCAAAATCTTATTATTATGGCACAAGGGGGATTCACATACACCCTTTAGTTCTGGGAAAATATGCCCCTAGGCCCTGATTGGCTGAGGGAAAATCTACTCTGGCATCAGGTGCTCATAGAAGCCTGGGACATTCTGTATAGCCCATTTTGATTTGTCTGAAAAATCAGTACATTATGCACCTGACATCTTAAGGAACTACTACCCACATCTTTGTTGCTCTTCAGTGCAACCCCAGCATATTCACAGAGGCTTCACATGGGTGGCGCTGTGGTCTAAACCATGAAACCTCTTGGGCTTGCTGATCAGAAGGTCAGCGGTTCGAATCCGCATGACGGGATGAGCTCCCATTGCTCTGTCCCAGCTCCTGCCAACCTAGCAATTTGAAAGCATGGCAGTGTAATCTCACTGTATACAAGTTGTACAAGTGACAATAAAGTATTTCAATTCAGTGCAAGCAGATAAATAGTTACTGATGTAGCAGGCAGGTAAATGGGGTTTCCATGCGCTCTGGTTTCCGTCACAGTATCCTGTTGCTCCAGAAGCTGTTTAGTCATACAGACCACATGACCCGGAAAACTGTCTGTGGACAAATGCCGGTTCCCTCGGCCTGAAAGCAAGATAAGTGCCGCAACCCCAAAGTACCTTTGACTGCACTTAACTGTCCAGGGGTCCTTTACCTTTTACCTTTGCACCGTTCAAGCTCACCAGCATGAGAGGAGAAACCAAGAAGGTTTCTCTTACCCTTATATAATAGAGGTCTTGTTAACTGAGAGAAACAGGTGTTCCTTCCCCGTTAGATACTATCAGGTGGCCACAGAGGGCCGAGACATTCTGTACAACATTTGGCTATTCCCTCAGTCCATCGGAATTTATCCTAACAATCAGCACATCATGCCCCCAATACTGAAAGGCAGCCACTCCCCACATCTTTCTTGTTCCTCAGAGACACCCCAGCATGTTGCCAGAGGCTACTTGTACCCACCAACCCCATCAGGATCAGGTGCCCTGAGATGCTAATAAGGTTCCTATTGGCTTTATACAATGGTATGTTGAAGCTGGTTCCTCAAGCCAAGCAACTTGTTTTTCAGAAGCTGAACTGTTGCTACTAGTTTTTACCAGGTGTTTCTATCCAGAGCAAGATTGGCTATAGCAGTCAAAAGTCAGAGAACAGGTTTCAGCTTCTGCCCATAGATCTCTCAAGTGCAATACTTGACCTACTCCTCTGTAAGTGAAGAGTTGCCATTCACTCCTATCAGAGGAAAGACAGTGGTAGCAAAACTTGCCCTTCAACTGATGATGGTAAATTGATACTTTACCACATGAATCAACTGATAACTTGTTAAATTGGCATCTATCACTAATGCTGTAGAGCCACAAATATCCATGAGGAGGCATATGAATGACATGGGTTCACCTGCTTTGATTTTCGGGTCCTATGTCTGTGAACATTGTCTAAGATGGATGCAATATTAAAGGACCATGGGAAGTGAAGGACACGAGGCAGGAGTTGGTAATGCAGGTGAGCTGTGCATAAGCAAGCTGCCAGCTAGCTCTGCCGAAGCTCTTTTTATTAGCACAATATGCAAAACCAGTTAGATAGATTTTGGACTGTGACCTTTACACATCTTCCAATCCTGAGATCAAAGGGTGCTACAAAGTTATTTTGGCACCTGTTTCCACCGCGTCATTTCCCCTTGAACCATGTATGACGAAGGAGACAAAGGTCACAGACAGGGCACAGCAGACCACTAAGAGAGCAAAGGTTAGATAGAGGGCATGATGTTCAGACAGCTGTGGCTTGTCTGTGGGTGGAAGTGTGCTCCACACCCGGCAGGTGGAAGTGTGCTTCCCACCCAGTGATCATTCCTTCACCATGTATCACTCATGGAAGGTTGACAGAGAAACATACTTGTGCACACCTTTCACACTGCTATGAGTAGCAACAGAATAAAAAAGTGAGCTCCTTCTAACAGAACATTTTAGCAATATGGTTGATCAAGCCAGAATGCAGCATATTTGAGTATTGGTTCCTCAAAACATCTTCGTGTCACAATTGAAACCCAGAGCTGAACAGGAAACCCAATGAAAGGAGCAAGCAATTCTTCCACAAAAGATGAGATCTGGGACGTTCTGTGCAGCATTCAGCTGATCCCTCAGTCCATTTGGATTTGTCCTAACAACCAGTACTTTGTGCCTAAAATGGCCCAAGGCAACCACTTCCTTCACCCTTGCTATTCTTCACTGTCAACTCAGGATATTGCCAAAGGCTCCTTGGACCTTTAAAGGCCACCAGGATGAGGCAAGAAGCCAAGAAGGTTCCTTTCGGCCTTATATAATGGATGTCTTGAACTCGGCTCCTCAAACTGCGCAGTGTGTTCTTGTCTGCCCTGAAAGCCTGCAGTTCCTCAGCTGCTAGCCTTCCAAAGCTGTCTCTCCATACAAAAGGCATTCCAATGGAGCAGAGCTTGTTTCTTGGTAATCGAAGGCCACGTCTGCTTCAGGTCTGGCTACTTACATTCTGCTTTCTTCTTTGCTTCAGGACTGGAGGTAAGTATTGCCCCCATCCCAGAAGAGGTAAAAGAAGAAGAAGCTACTGTTTTACATAGGTTGACTCTATTAGTAGCCGGAGAGATATACTTTGGGGTGGTAGGGGGAAAATGCCTTCTGCCATAGGTCTGCAATAATTCAGTGTTATTGTGCATGCTTTTCATGCAGAAAGCCCCAGGTTAATGCCTTAGCATCTCCAGTCGAAAAGTTTAAGGAGAAGAGAGTCGGTACAATAATGGGGCAAAATGGACCGGTAGCTTGAAATTCTGGAAGGCAGCTCTGTATGTATGTATGTAGGAGTGAATCAGGCTGCCCAACATCTGGTATATTTGTGGGATGCGGGTAGTGTTGTGGTCTAAACCACTGAGCCTCTTGGGTTTGCCAATCGGAAGGTTGGCGGTTCAAATCCCCATGACGGGGTGAGCTCACATTGCTCAGTCCCAACTCCTGCCGACTTAGCCGTTCAAAAGCATGCCAGTGCAAGTAGATAAATAGATACCATAGTGATGGGAAGGATAATGGCATTTCCATGCGCTCTGGCTTCTGTCACGGTGTTCCATTGCCACAGAAGTGGTTTAGTCATGCTGGCCACATGACCCTGAAATCTGTCTGTGGACAAACGCCAGAAAGCGAGAAGAGCACCGTACCCCATCATCGCCTTTGAATCGACTTCACTGTCCAGGAGTCCTTTACCTTTTATATGTGTATGGTTGGAGAGAAAATGTCTCATGTAACATTAAATACGTTCTGCCATTTGTGCCTTCACAATGGGACTTCCCTCCTCCTCCTGAGTAGGCCCTAAATCTATTCAGTGCATTCCCCAAACTGCCGGAGGAAAATTTGGGCATGATACGAAGCAGGCATTGGGGAGGAGTGAAAGGGAGAACTTCTGTTGCAAAGGCACAAATCCTTTCACTAACGTCATGAGTGCACTGAATATGACCAATGGGCGTATATTCCAGATGTTTCTGCCAGGTCTAAAAGTGGAGCCCAATAGTTTAGAGCTCATTTCAGGACAGAGTTAGGCTTCAATTGAGGAAGGAAGCTGCTTTTCTTCCGGGAGCGCCATCTTTGGAAAAAGGAGGATTCCCTTGTCTGGGCGGAATGTGTTGCTAGACTAAGGGCACAGGAGCATGCTATGAAACTGCATAGAGTTTCCCCATCTGCAGAGATGTAAATTTAGTCAGACTTTCTGATGGGGGAAAAAATCCTACTGCTCTAGGATCTATTCTAACAGCTATGGGTGCCTATAGGATTTTATGGGTTGGGAGACTGAAAATCAATTGGTTCCTCCACAAATGAAAAAAAAAGGGGGTCTCACTTGGTACAATGCTTTGCAGTAGATCCAGGAAAGAAAATTAATATAAATGAGGAAAGTAGTAGGAGTTCCTGGGGCTTCAGACCCCTCGTCTACCTCCTAATGAAGCCCCGGATTTAGTGACCGATGGGTGAAGGTGATGCTTTCAGGGAAAAACAATAAAACAAATTTTTGTGCCTCCTACAGCAGATGCTGTGAAATGCAGAAAATGCCTGTCACCTGGTCCTGGCAAGCCATGTAAACCAAATACTTTGACATGTACGGGGCCATACTGTGTAATGACAGAAAGATTGGCAGGTAAGAAGGCTTTTCTGTGACTATGACTTGCCTATTCTATGCTCTGGTAACCTCTTCATTCCTCTGTTGAAAATGGGAATATCCCATTCCACAATGGCTATTTTATTATTTATACACCACACATCTTACGGGGTTGCCCCAGCCACTCTGGGAAGCTTCCAAAAGATATAAAAACATAATAAAACATTAAACATTTTTAAAACTTCCCTATACAGCAGGCTCGTCCAACTCTATAGAGACTGCGACTGAATTCACTTGGTAATGTAAGGCGTAACTGTTAGGCAAACATTCTTTAAGAAACAGACAAAAGTTCCTGGAAGCTTTAAAGAGGGTTCCAGAATTTTCTTTAGTGTATAGTAGTGGTACTCTAGGCTCCATTGGTGTCAGTTGGAGGTGCAAATAAAGGGAGGAAGCTGCAGTTGCAATTTCTGCACCAGGAAATCACACACCATCAGTACGCATGCCAACAACGAGGTGGGAAGGAAGGCAATATGCGCTGCTGATACTGTGAGTTTTGCAGTGTCAAGATTGTTAATTACTGGACTGAAATTATACTGCGCTGGAGAGATAAAGACGGAATGTAAATAGCTTGTACAAAATAGTAACAGAAATGCTTGTGCAACCAGTCAAGCAATAAAGAAGCTCTTGACTGTGAATTTGAGTATGACTCCTGTTCTTGTCCTCTGTCTCTGGGGAAAACTCTGCTACAAACAGTAAGAAGTGGTTTTACCGAGGTGCCACCACACAAGCAGAAAAGTGCAGCAGAAGTGTGTGGGCGGTAATCTCTAATAGTAACACCTCTTAATAGAGTGGTTAATGGACAAATTGACAGAGCTGCCAAATATTGGGCCATTGCTTGGCAAGTGCAAAGTTGCAGCAGCAATATGAAAAATACCAAGCATTTCCCATGAAAATAAGTATTAGAAAGCTTTTCCCCAGCTCCATTTTGAACGCATGAATTCAATTTTGCAGCTGGGGAGATTCATGGACATATCACTGCAAGGCAGACTGTGCAACAGTCTTCCAGCAGTAGTGGAAGAGCTGCTTCATTAGAGTCTTGAATGCCAGCTATATTCTTATATTAAGCCATATTACGTAGAGGGACCTTGCCTAAGAAGATGAAATGTTGCCGAGGAACAAGGAAAGTAAGGTTTCTGCTTCAAGGAACTAACTGGCATGTCACTTGGAAAGTAGCCTATTTTTCAGTCTGAAGGAAAGGTATTTAGGATTTATTTTAGACAACAGTGGTGGAAATTCTGAGATTTAAGGGTTTGTTTTATGTGGACATGTATTTTGCGCATGTTTTAACTTAATTTTATTTTAATGTCGACACTTTAGTAGTTTTCCATGGGGGGGAAATCAGTTTTAGGTATGCATTTGTCAATGGAGCTTAAAATGGAGTTTATTTCAATGTGCTGTGAGCTTTGTCTTTTTTTTGGTATGAACTATGGACTCCACTCACTATTTAGTATCAACATAAGGACTTCTCTTTCTCTCGCCAGGTCCAAATAAGGAGTTGCAGACCCTCAAATTTTGTGGCGAAGCTCAGTATAAAAAATACTGCGGAACGAAAAAGAAAGATAACCTTAAAGTACAATGCTGTGAAACTGACATGTGTTTTGACTGATTTTACTGTTCTGTTCTTCTATTGTTTTAACCCATCCAGGAACCTCATGGTAAAGGGTGGGCAGCCAATCTTTCTCCTTCTCTTTCACTTTCTCCTTGGAAAGACATAATATTAGAATATTTCATATCCTTTGCTTTTGACGGATGTCTGGTCTTCCTTCTGCCATTCCAATTCAAATGACAGAGCAAACACAGAAAAGCAACAAAGCCCACCCCGAGACTGTGATTCTACCACTGCCTCCACTAGTACACCACTGGTGGTAATAGAAATAGTAGTAATAACAATAACCATAACACAATAATAATAATAATAAATTGTTCCCCACTCATCTTAAATGTGTAGCCCCCTTTTAGGTACCCCCTTCGGCTCATACTCCTGGTTTGAAATCCTGCTCTTCATCAGCCTGCCAAATGGGCCAATTGCAGGCTGGTGTGGAGAGGGAACAATCAGGATTCCCTCAGGTCTACTCTGGGGGGATTTAAAACAGCCCACGCCAGCCCCCGATGTCTAGCATTCTTCGTTGGATCAACCGACCCATTTTGCATTTACAAATTGAATTGACCTTGCAATGGCTGCGGTGGTCGCTGTATTGTTGGTACCAGGTAGGAATTTGCCTACCTGGTGAATTGGATATGACCTGGAGGTTTTGCCTAACCCTGTAGCAATCATCACAACTTTGGCGGTTTAGGCATTGGGTAACCTTAACCTTGGTTGGAGGGGGGGTTGTACCCTGGCCTTCCCCTCCAGAAATAGGGTATCCTGTTAAAGGGGTCTGTGATGGAGTTGCTTCTGTCCATTTGCCCAGATGGGGGGAGGGGCTTGGGCCTCAGCGTTCCTAGGGGTAGGGATCCCTGTGGAGATCCCCCTATTTGATGTAAGTCATGGGAATCTCCACTGCCGGGTTGACCCTGATGTCATTTCCGGTAGGCAGACTGGAAATAAATGCTTACACAATGCTTATAGGCAAACTACTTCATCTGTAGTCAATAAAGTTGTGGCCTGATTTGATCTCATTCCACTGTGTGGCCTCCTTTATTGGTAGCTCACTTGAGCGGAGGAAGGCTGCACACCCTGGGCCTGTAGACTCTGGGAAGCCTCCAAGAGAATATAAAAATACATAAAACCATCCGACATTGAAAACTTCTCGATACAGGACTGCCTTCAAATGTCTCAAGGTCAGTCCTCAATTGCCTTGTTAGAGCATCCCAACCGAAACTCACAGTCAGGATGGTCAGGGGGGAGGCTGGAGCCACTTCCATCCAGACTCTCCTAGGTCATGCCCATCAGATTCTTAATTCATCTCTTCCTGGAGCTCATGGGTCCCTGTTCTTCCCAACCCCTCCCTGGTTGTAGAGCTCAAATGTTCTCATTTCTCTTTCCTGACCATTGCCATGTAATTGGAACGTAGCAAGGCTTTTAAGTAGTTTGGACTGGAGGGAGTTTTAGGTGGCCAATCAAGATAGAGATCAATAATAATAGTTAGAATTACTGCTAGTTTTGCATGCAGAACAAATGCGAGAATAATAGCTTGAAATATTTGTTGTACCTTACGCGACATTGCTTTCCTTCAATAAAGTTGAAAAATGAAGTTGTGGTCTGTGTTCTGTTTTGGTTCCTGTGTAATTTTTGTATCTTGATCACACAAGAAATCATTTACCTTATATTTTCTGTTCCTCACGATTGATGTGTTTATTGTGAGGCCTTATTATTTTGTTGCAATTCCTTTCTTTGATCCAACAAGAAATGCCTATTTTAAAAGTATGGGCCATATCCCATGCTTTGCAACAGACCTCTGTGCTCAGCAGCAGTCCCTCTCCCTCTCCTGCTTTCTCTCCAGCTTCTGGCAAGCACAGACAAAAATACAACAAAGCAGATCCTCCATGCTGCACAACACTCTTGTATCATATATGGCAGTCTTCAAATAGAATCCCATACACAAATCACATGAGCCCAGTAAGCATCTGGAAGTATTAACGTAACCGTAGCATATTAGTATGTTTCTCCAAGTCTTTGCACTCAGATTCCAAAATAAAAGGGCTCATTCAACTGACTAACCATCCAACCTTCCACCTCTCCCCAATTAAAAGCATCAGCTCCTATTGGATGCTATCTGGCTCCAAGTAATATGAATTCTGTTCATGGGATTGCCAGGAATCAGAGTCTGTCTTGCAAGACTGCTGTCTCTCCATGTCCCACATCTTTGAGTAAAGTTGAAGATACATGCAATATGAAAGGACCACTTATTTATCACTCATGGAGGACTGGCATTAACACATGGCTGGGCATACCATTCATTCCACTATGAGCAGCAGTGAGATACAAAAGAAAGCTGCTAACACAACGATTCGGGAATATGGGCTGGCCAGAAGTCATCCATTGTGTTTCATCTGCAGGCTGGTTGAGAGTTGCCTGCTCGGCACATCTTCCTATTACAACTGAAACCTGGAGCTGAACAGAAAACCCTCGTAAGATAGCATCAGGCATCCGCCACGGTCCGCGACATTCTGTACAGTATGCAGCTGATTTCTCAGCCCATTTGGGTTGTCCTAACAATCAGTACTTTATGCCTGAAAGGACCCAAGACAACCATCGCCTTCACTCTCTGCTGCCCATCCGAGTGACCCAAGCATATTGCCAGAGGCTCCTTGGACCTTTCAAGGCCACCAGGATGAGGCAAGAAGCCAAGAGGGTTCCTTTCGGCCTTATATAATGGATGTCTTGAACTCGGCTCCTCAAACTGCGCAGTGTGTTCTTGTCTGCCCTGAAAGCCTGCAGTTTCTCAGCTGCTAGCCTTCCAAAGCTGTCTCTCCATACAAAAGGCATTCCAATGGAGCAGAGCTTGTTTCTTGGTAATCGAAGGCCACGTCTGCTTCAGGTCTGGCTACTTACATTCTGCTTTCTTCTTTGCTTCAGGACTGGAGGTAAGTATTGCCCCCATCCCAGAAGAGGTAAAAGAAGAAGAAGCTACTGTTTTACATAGGTTGACTCTATTAGTAGCCGGAGAGATATACTTTGGGGTGGTAGGGGGAAAATGCCTTCTGCCATAGGTCTGCAATAATTCAGTGTTATTGTGCATGCTTTTCATGCAGAAGGCCCCAGGTTAATCCCTTAGCATCTCCAGTCGAAAAATTTAAGGAGAAGAGAGTCGGTACAATAATGGGGCAAAATGGACCGGTAGCTTGAAATGCTGGAAGGCAGCTCTGTATGTATGTAGGAGTGGATCAGGCTGCCCAACATCTGGTATATCTGTAGGATGCTGGGAGTGTTGTGGTCTAAACCACTGAGCCTCTTGGGTTTGCCAGTCGGAAGGTTGGCGGTTCAAATCCCCATGACGGGGTGAGCTCACATTGCTCAGTCCCAACTCCTGCCGACTTAGCAGTTCAAAAGCATGCCAGTGCAAGTAGATAAATAGATACCATAGTGATGGGAAGGATAATGGCATTTCCATGCGCTCTGGCTTCTGTCACGGTGTTCCATTGCCACAGAAGTGGTTTAGTCATGCTGGCCACATGACCCTGAAATCTGTCTGTGGACAAACACCAGAAAGTGAGAAGAGCACCGTACCCCATCATCGCCTTTGAATCGACTTCACTGTCCAGGAGTCCTTTACCTTTTATATGTGTATGGTTGGAGAGAAAATGTCTCATGTAACATTAAATACGTTCTGCCATTTGTGCCTTCACAATGGGACTTCCCTCCTCCTCCTGAGTAGGCCCTAAATCTATTCAGTGCATTCCCCAAACTGCCGGAGGTAAATTTGGGCAAGATACGAAGCAGGCATTGGGGAGGAGTGAAAGGGAGAACTTCTGTTGCAAAGGCACAAATCCTTTCACTAATGTCATGAGTGCACTGAATATGACCAATGGGCGTATATTCCAGCTTTTTCTGCCAGGTCTAAAAGTGGAGCCCAATAGTTTAGAGCTCATTTCAGGACAGAGTTAGGCTTCAATCGAGGGAGGAAGCTGCTTTTCTTCTGGGAGCGCCATCTTTGGAAAAAGGAGGATTCCCTTGTCTGGGTGGAATGTGTTGCTAGACTAAGGACACAGGAGCATGCTATAAATCTGCATAGAGTTTCCCCATCTGCAGAGATGTAAATTTAGTCAGACTTTCTGATGGGGGAAAAAATCCTACTGCTCTAGGATCTATTCTAACAGCTATGGGTGCCTATAGGATTTTATGGGTTGGGAGACTGAAAATCAATTGGTTCCTCCACAAATGAAAAAAGGGGGTCTCACTTGGTACAATGCTTTGCAGTTCATGCAGGAAAGAAAATTAATATAAATGAGGAAAGTGGTAGGAGTTCCTGGGGCTTCAGACCCCTCGTCTACCTCCTAATGAAGCCCCGGATTTAGTGACCGATGGGTGAAGGTGATGCTTTCAGGAAGAAACAATAAAACAAATTTTTGTGCCTCCTACAGCAGATGCTGTGAAATGCAGAAAATGCATGTCAATTGGTACTGGCCAGCCATGTAAACCAAATACTTTGACATGTACGGGGCCATACTGTGTAATGACAGAAAGATTGGCAGGTAAGAAGGCTTTTCTGTGACTATGACTTGTCTCTTCTATGCTCTGGTAACCTCTTCATTTCTCTGATGAAAATCGGAATATCCCATTCCACAATGGCAGTTTTATTATTTATACCCCACACATCTTACGGGGTTGCCCCAGCCACTCTGGGAAGCTTCCAAAAGATATAAAAACATAATAAAACATTAAACATTTTTAAAACTTCCCTATACAGCAGGCTCGTCCAACTCTATAGAGACTGCGACTGAATTCACTTGGTAATGTAAGGAGTAACTGTTAGGCAAACATTCTTTAAGAAACAGACAAAAGTTCCTGGAAGCTTTAAAGAGGGTTCCAGAATTTTCTTTAGTGTATAGTAGTGGTACTCTAGGCTCCATTGGTGTCAGCTGGAGGTGCAAATAAAGGGAGGAAGTTGCAGCTGCAATTTCTGCACCAGGAAATCACACACCATCAGTACGCATGCCAACAACGAGGTGGGAAGGAAAACAATATGTGCTGCTGATACTGTGAGTTTTGCAGTGTCAAGATTGTTAATTACTGGACTGAAATTATACTGCGCTGGAGAGATAAAGACGGAATGTAAATAGCTTGTACAAAATAGTAACAGAAATGCTTGTGCAACCAGTCAAGCAATAAAGAAGCTCTTGACTGTGAATTTGAGTATGACTCCTGTTCTTGTCCTCTGCCTCTGGGGAAAACTCTGCTACAAACAGTAAGAAGTGGTTTTACCGAGGTGCCACCACACAAGCAGAAAAGTGCAGCAGAAGTGTGTGGGCGGTAATCTCTAATAGTAACACCTTTTAACAGAGTGGTTAATGGACAAATTGACAGAGCTGCCAAATATTGGCCATTGCTTGGCAAGTGCAAAGTTGCAGCAGCAATATGAAAAATACCAAGCATTTCCCATGAAAATAAGTATTAGAAAGCTTTTCCCCAGCTCCATTTTGAACACATGAATTCAATTTTGCAGCTGGGGAGATTCATGGACATATCACTGCAAGGCAGACTGTGCAACAGTCTTCCAGCAGTAGTGGAAGAGCTGCTTCATTAGAGTCTTAAATGCCAGCTATATTCTTATATTAAGCCATATTACGTAGAGGGACCTTGCCTAAGAAGATGAAATGTTGCCGAGGAACAAGGAAAGTAAGGTTTCTGCTTCAAGGAACTAACTGGCATGTCACTTGGAAAGTAGCCTATTTTTCAGTCTGAAGGAAAGGTATTTAGGATTTATTTTAGACAACAGTGGTGGAAATTCTGAGATTTAAGGGTTTGTTTTATGTGGACATGTATTTCGCGCATGTTTTAACTTAATTTTATTTTAATGTTGACACTTTAGTAGTTTTCCATGGGGAAAAAATCAGTTTTAGGTATGCATTTGTCAATGGAGCTTAAAATGGAGTTTGTGCTGTGAGCTTTGTCTCTTTTTTGGTATGAACTATGGACTCCATTCACTAGTTAGTATCAACATAAGGACTTCTCTTTCTCTCGCCAGGTCCAAATAAGGAGTTGCGGACCTTCAAATTTTGTGGCGAACCTGAGAAAAAAAAATTCTGCGGAACGAAAAGCGAAGAGGAACTTAAAGTACAATGCTGTGAAACTGACATGTGTTTTGACTGATTTTACTGTTCTATTCTTCTATTGTTTTAACCCATCCAGGAACCTCATGGTAAAGGGTGGGTAGCCAATCTTTCTCCTTCTCTTTTACTTTCTCCTTTGAAAAACATAATATTAGAACATTTCATATCCTTTGCTTTTGACGGATGTCTGGTCTTCCTCCTGCCATTCCAATTCAAATGACAGAGCAAACACAGAAAAGCAACAAAGCCCACCCCGAGACTGTGATTCTACCACTGCCTCCACTAGTACACCACTGGTGGTAATAGTAATAGTAGTAATAACAATAACTATAACACAATAATAATAATAAATTGTTCCCCACTCATCTTAAATGTGTAGCCCCCTTTTAGGTACCCCCTTCGGCTCATACTCCTGGTTTGAAATCCTGCTCTTCATCAGCCTGCCAAATGGGCCAATTGCAGGCCTGTGTGGAGAGGGAACAATCAGGATTCCCTCAGGTCTACTCCGGGGGGATTTAAAACAGCCCACGCCAGCCCCCAATGTCTAGCATTCTTCATTGGATCAACCCACCCATTTTGCATTTACAAATTGAATTGACCTTGCAATGGCTGCGGTGGTCGCTGTATTGTTGGTGCCGGGTAGGAATTTGCCTACCTGGTGAATTGGCTATGACCTGGAGGTTTTGCCTAACCCTGTAGCAATCGTCACAACTTTGGCGGTTTAGGCGTTGGGTAACCTTAACCTTGGTTGGAGGGGGGGTTGTACCCTGGCCTTCCCCTCCAGAAATAGGGTATCCTGTTAAAGGGGTCTGTGATGGAGTTGCTTCTGTCCATTTGCCCAGATGGGGGGAGGGGCTTGGGCCTCAGCGTTCCTAGGGGTAGGGATCCCTGTGGAGATCCCCCTATTTGATGTAAGTCATGGGAATCCCCACTGCTGGGTTGACCCTGATGTCATTCCGGTAGGCAAACCGGAAATAAATGCTTACACAATGCCTATAGGCAAACCACTTCATCTGTAGTCAATAAAGTTGTGGCCTGATTTGATCTCATTCCACTGTGTGGCCTCCTTTATTGGTAGCTCACTTGAGCGGAGGAAGGCTGCACACCCTGGGCCTGTCGACTCTGGGAAGCTTCCAAGAGAATATAAAAATACATAAAACCATCCGACATTGAAAACTTCTCGATACAGGACTGCCTTCAAATGTCTCAAGGTCAGTCCTTAATTGCCTTGTTAGAGTATCCCATCCCATACTCACAGTCAAGATGGTTAGGGGGGAGGCTGGAGCCACTTCCATCCAGACTCTCCTAGGTCATTGTCGATCAGATTCTTAATTCATCTCTTCCTGGAGCTCATGGGTCCCTGTTCTTCCCAACCCCTCCTTGGTTGTAGAGCTCAAATGTTCTCTTTTCTCTTTCCTGACCATTGCCATGTAATTGGAACGTAGCAAGGCTTTTAAGTAGTTTGGACTGGAGGGAGTTCTAGGTGGCCAATCAAGATAAGAGATCAATAATAATAGTTAAAATTACTGCTAGTTTTGCATGCAGAACAAATGCGAGAATAATAGCTTGCAATATTTGTTGTACCTTACGCGGCAATGCTTTCCTTCAATAAAGTTGAAAAATGAAGTTGTGGTCTGTGTTCTATTTTGGTTCCTGTGTAATTTTTGTATCTTGATCACACAAGAAATCACTTACCTTATATTTTCTGTTCCTCACGATTGGTGTGTTTATTGTGAGGCCTTATTATTTAGTTCTAATTCCTTTCTTTGATCTAACAACAAATGCCTATTTTAAAAGTATGGGCCATATCCCATGCTTTGCAACAGACTTCTGTGCTCAGCAGCACTTCCTCTCCCTCTCCTGCTTTCCCTCCAGCTTCCGGCAAGCACAGACAAAAATACAACAAAGCAGATCCTCCATTCTGCACAACACTCTTGCATCATATATGGCAGTCTTCAAATAGAATCCCATACACAAATCACATGAGCCCAGTCAGCATCTGGAAGTATTAACGTAACCGTACCATATTAGTATGTTTCTCCAAGTCTTTGCGCTCAGATTCCAAAATAAAAGGGCCTCAGTCAACTGTTTAACCATCCAACCTTCCACCTCTCCCCAATTAAAAGTATCAGCTCCTATTGGATGCTATCTGGCTCCAAGAAATATGAATTCTGTTCATGGGATTGCCAGGAATCAGAGTCTGTCTTGCAAGCCTGCTGTCTCTCCATGTCCCACATCTTTGAGTAAAGTTGAAGATACATGCAATATGAAAGGACCACTTATTTATCACTCATGGAGGACTGGCAGTAACACATGGCTGTGCACATCATTCATTCCACTATGAGCAGCAGTGAGATACAAAAGAAAGCTGCTAACACAATGATTCGGGAATATGGACTGGCCAGAAGTCACCCATTGTGTTTCATCTGCAGGCTGGTTGAGAGTTGCCTGCTCGGCACATCTTCCTATTACAACTGAAACCTGGAGCTGAACAGAAAACCCTCGTAAGATAGCATCAGGCATCCGCCACGGTCCGCGACATTCTGTACAGTATGCAGCTGATTTCTCAGCCCATTTGGGTTGTCCTAACAATCAGTACTTTATGCCTGAAAGGACCCAAGACAACCATCGCCTTCACTCTCTGCTGCCCATCCGAGTGACCCAAGCATATTGCCAGAGGCTCCTTGGACCTTTCAAGCCCACCAGGATAAGGCAAGAAGCCAAGAGGGTTCCTCCCAGCCGTATATAATGGATATCTTGAACCCGGCTCCTCAGACTGAACAGCGTGTTCCTGCCTGCCCTGGAAACCTGCAGTTCCTCAGCTGCTAGCCTTTGAAAGCTGTCTCTCCATACAAAAGGCATTCCAATGGAGCAGAGCTTGTTTCTTGGTAATCGAAGGCCACGTCTGCTTCAGGTCTGGCTACTTACATTCTGTGTTCTGCTTTGCCTCAGGACTGGAGGTAAGTATTGCCTCCATCCCCCATCCCAGGAGATTTAAAAGAAGAATAAGCCACTGTTTTAGATAGGTTGAATCTATTAGTAGCAGGAGAGATATACTTTGGGGTGGTAGGGAGGAAATGCCTTCTGCCAAGAGTTTGCAAATCCTTGCGATGGGGTGAGCTTAGAGCTCATTTCAGGACAGAGTTAAGCTTCCATTGAGTGAGGAAGCTGCTTTTCTTCTGGGAGCGCCATCTTTGGGGAAAAGTTGATTCTGTTGTCTGGGCTGAATGTGTTGATAGACTAAGGGCCCAGGAGCATGCTATGAATCTGCATAGAGTTTCCCCATCTGCAGAGGTGTAAATTTAGTCAGACTTTCTGAGGGGGAAAGAATCCTACCTCTCCAGGATCTATTCTGACAGCTATGTGTGGCCACAGGATTTTATGAGTTGGGACATTGAATCAATTGGTCCCTCCACAATTGGAAAAAAAAAATGGTTTCGCTTGGTATTATGCTTTTCAGTATATACAGGAAAGAAAATAAATATAAATGAGGGAAGTGGTAGGATTCCCAGGACTTCAGTCACCTTGCCTACCTCCTAATGAAGCCCCAGATTTGGTGACCAATGTGCGAAGGTGATGCTTTCAGGGAGAAACAATAGAACAAATTTTTGTGCCTCCTACTACAGATGCTGTGAAATGCAGACTATGCAGGTCATTTCGTTCTGGCATGCCATGTGTACCAAATGATGTCACATGTGACGGGTCATTCTGTGTAATGGCAGAAAGAGTTAAAGGTAAGGCATCTTTTCTATGTTCCTCTTTTTCTATGCTGCAATGAGCACTTGTCTCTTCTATGCTCTGGTAACCTCTTCATTTCTCTGATGAAAATGGGAATATCCCATTCCACAATGGCAATTTTATTATTTATACCCCACACAGCTTACTGGGTTGCCCCTGCCACTCCGGGCAGCTTCTGACATGCATAAAAACATAATAAAACATTAAACATTTTTTTAAAAAACTTCTCTATACAGGATTGCCTTTAGACGGCTCGGGAGTCCTCCTTACCCACCAACATTTATCTGATGAAAATAGGGACATCCTAAGAAAAAGCGGGACATTCCAGAATCAAATCAGAAACCAGCTTCTCAAAGTCAGGGACGTCCCTGCAAAATAGGGAAACCTGGAGGGTCTGCTATGTTAGATTAGTGCAGTGCATTATACGTGGTGCTGCCTTTGAAAACAGTTAGGAAAATGCAGCTGGTCCAGAATTCAGTGTGGGGATGTTTAGGATAGTTGGCAAGGAAATATTTCTTAAGTGTTATCCTTCCTTCACTCCCACTAGTGAGTGATGTAGCAGAGCAAATCCCCTTCTGTACTCATGGAAGCTAGTTGATAGATTTCTTTGAATCTCCACAAAATGACTAATCCACTCTGGCGTGCCCAGATGGATTATTTCTGGTGTCCCCTTTTCCTCCTCCTAAAATATAATAAAGACTCAGAAGTCTGTCTTTAAAAGTATAACAATAATTTTACTCACAAGTTGTTCACAGTACACATCCTGGAAGGCAGGCTTTAAGCTTCAGGTTACAAACATACAACGTGGCTTACATCCTTTGTGAGGATGGGCCCAAGTGCTGCTAGCTGAGAGCCAGCAGCCAACAAAATGGAGGGGACTGAATCGAACAGAACTGAGACAAAATGGCTGCGTGACTCTGCTTTTATAGAGTCACAGTCATTTGCTGAGTCACTTATGGGGGAACAGGAAGCGACACACATCCCACATTCAGCTGTCAGACTACTCACCGGGGCAAGACAGTTTGAGCATATAACACCAATCCTGGCCTAATTACACCAACAGCCAATCAGTTTTTGGACCCAATTCGAAGCGCTGGTTTTAACCTATAAAACCATACATGGCTCAGGACCTCAAGGACGGCCACTCCCCATATGTATTGACCTCCTGGACCCTGCAGTCATCATCTGAGGCCCTTCTCTATGTGCTTTCTATGCAGGAAGTAATACAAAAATGATCCTTTTCTGCGGTGGCTTCCCATTTGTGGAATGCTCTCTCCAGAGAGGCTCTCCTGGCACCATCATTATATAACTTTAGATGCCAAGCAAAAACATTCCACTCCTCCCAGACCTTTGGCTAATTAAACAATCTATGGCCTTTAATAATGTGGGGGGGGGGAGGTTCTTTGTTTTCATTTGTTATTATGGTATGTATGTTTGTGTTTTTATATTGTAAGGCACCCAGTGATCTTTGGATGAAAGATCCAAAGTATAGAGAGTTAATAAAGAATAAGAATAACCTTGAGCAGATCAGGATGAATGCTTAATTAATGGAAGAGCCCAAAGTTTTGCTAGTGCATAATAAAATTACTGTGCATAATAAATTTACTACAGCAGTTATGATTTTCTGGTCAGGCTCTGAATTCTCTTGATAATGTAAGGAGTAACATCTTTCCTAAAAATCACTGCAAGCCCGCCTCCCCACCCACAAGGCCTGGGTTGCTGTGTGTTAGAGTAAGCTGGTGGACAAGCAGCGGCAAGGACAGGTCCATCTGCTTCATCCAACCAAGTCTCTGTTACACATGCCAGGTTAAGTCCTCCATCCAGTCATGGATGGCAATGGTCTTACGAATCATTGACCTGGCATTGCATAGCAGCACCTTCAGGTCATGTGGGTATCCCTTGCTGATTCCAGTATCCGTCTGGTCAAGACCAGACATGGAGGCAGGGATAGTCCTCAAACAATGACTAAACCTGCCTCCTCGGTAATGACATGGTCTGGTCTTAGCATAACTCCTCCTCCTGCCCATGATCACTGAGATCGGTTGTCCCAGTGCATCCCCCCCCCCCCTGTGGAACCTGCCCCAGCCATTTTGTTGGCTGGGACCCACTCCCAGGCAGCCCTGACCCCTCCCATTAAGAACAAAATAAAATTAATTTAAAAAACACACACAAAAAACCCAATACAAACCAAAAACAGGGATAAACATCTATCCCACCCCCCACACCACCAAAAATAATTTTAAAAGGTAAAAACAGATTTTTTTAAAAAAAATTTAAAACATATTTATTTATTTTTTTAATAATTTTTATTCATATTTGCACATATATACAGAAAAAACATAAACAAAAAATTCACCACATACCTTATACAAATTATATCCACTTCACAAATCATAAATAAAATACATAACTAAGTTAATCTCAACTGAGCCTTGGACTTCCCTCCACTCCTTTGGTAAGTATCGAATAAATTATATAATGACGTACTTTTTAACTCTTTTACATAAGCCTTTCCCGCTGTTAGAGTTATTTCAACCCCGCCAGTGTCACCTGAGATTTAGATTCCATATACATTAAATATTTCTTCCAATTATCATGAAATTTCTGTTCGTCTTGGTCCCTTAATCTTCCTGATATTCTATCAAGTTCCGCATAGTTTAACATTTTAACCTGCCATTCATTTATATTGGGTATTACTTCTAATTTCCAATTTTGTGCTAACATAATTCTTGCAGCTGTCGTAGCATATAGAAACAAGGTCTTATCTTCTTTTTTAATTTCTTTACCGACCATTCCTAACAAAAAAGCTTCTGGCTTTTGGGGAAATGTATATTTCAAGATTTTTTTAAGTTCATTGTAAACCAATTCCCAAAAGCCTCTCACTTTGCAACCAAAATTAAAACATATTTAAAAGAACTCTGTGCTGTTCTGAGTTCTCCTGGGCAACAACAGCAGCAGCGGCAACAGTCCCTATGAGGCCTGTCAGGCCCCGCCTAGGCCAGGTGGTGAGTGGCAGGGACAGAACCTGCAGGCACTCACAGCAGGGGACTCCTCTGAAAAACACCAGACATTTCCAATGAAAATGGAGTATTAGAAAGCTTTTCCCCAACTCCATTTTGAACATGTGGATTAAATTGTGCAGGTGGGGAGATTCATGGACATATCACTGCAAGGCAGACTGTGCAACAGTCTTCCAGCAGGAATGGAAGAGTTACCTCATTAAAGTCTTGAATGCCAGCTATATTCTTATATTAAACCACATTACATAGAGGGACCTTGCTTAAGAAGATGAAATGTTGGAGAGGGGCAGGAAAGTAAGGTTTCTGCTTCAACTAACTGGCATGTCACTTGGAAAGTAGCCTATTTTTCAGTCTGAAGGAAAGGTATTTCGGATTTATCCTTGAAAACAGTGGTGGAGATTCTGAGATTTGAGGGTTTGTTTTATTTAGACATGTATTTTGCACATGTTTTAACATTATTTTATTTTAATGTTGACACTTTAGTAGTTTTAGCATGGGAAAAAATTCAGTTTTAGGTATGCATTTGTCAATGGAGCTTAAAATGTAATTTATTTCAATGTGCTGTGAGCTTTGTCTGTTCTTTTGGTATGAACTATGGACTCGACTCACTAGTTAGTATCAACATAAGCACTTCTCTTTCTCTCGCCAGATCCAAGAAATAAGTTGCAGATCAAATTTTGTGGCGAAGGTCATTATGAAAAATTCTGCGGACTAGAAGAGACAACAGAAGATAAAGTTAAAATACAATGCTGTGATACTGACATGTGTTTTGACTGATTTTACTGTTCTATTCTTATATTGTTTTAACCCATCCAGAAACCTCATGGTAAAGGGTGGGCAGCCAATCTTTCTCCTTCTCTTTCACTTTCTCCTTTGAAAGACATAATATTAGAACATTTCATACCCTTTGCTTTTGACAGATGTCTGGTCTTCCTCCTGCCATTACAATTCAAATGACAGAGCAAACACAGAAAAGCAACAAAACCCAATTGTCACAACTTTGGTGGTTTAGGCATTGGGTAAGCTTAGCCTTGGTTGGAGGGGGGGTTGTCCCCTGGCCTTCCACTCAAGAAATAGGGTATGCTGTTAAAGGGGTCCATGATGGAGTTGCGTCTGTCCATTTGCCCAGATGGGGGGAAGGGCTCTGGCCTCAGCGTTCCTAGGGGTGGGGATCCCTGCAGGTATCCCCCTATTTGATGTAAGTCATGGGACTCCCCACTGCCGGGTTGACCCTGATGTCATTTCCGGTAGGAGAATATAAAAATATATAAAACCATCCAGCATTGAAAACTTCTTGATACAGGACTGCCTTCAAATGTCTCAAGGTCAGTCCTTAATTGCCTTTTTAGAGTATCCCATCCCATACTCACAGTCAAGATGGTTAGGGGGGAGGCTGGAGCCACTTCCATCCAGACTCTGCTAGGTCATTGTCCATCAGATTCTCAATTCATCTCTTCCTGGAGCTCATGGAACCCTGTTCTTCCCAACCCCTCCTTGGTTGGAGAGCTCAAATGTTTTCTGTTCTCTTTCTTGAACATTGCAATGTAACTGGAATGTAGGAAAGCTTTTTAAGTAGTTTGGACTGGTGGCAGTTCTAGGTGGCCAATCAAGATAGAGTTCAATAATAATAGTTAAAATTACTGCTACTTTTGCATGCAGAAATAACGTGAGAATAATAGCTTGTAATAATTGTTTTACCTTACATATCAATGCTTTCTTTCATTAAAGTTTAAAAGTGAAGTTGTAGTCTGTATTTTATTTTGGTTCCTGTGTAATTATTGTACCTTGACCACACAAGAAATTGCTGTGCAGTGGTACCTTGGTTCTCAAAATCTGCCCATTCTGAAAGTCCATTCCAAAACCAAAGCATTCCAAAACCAAGGTGTGCTTTTCCATAGAAAGTAATGCAAAAGGGACCTCCAAGATGTTATTGTTTGCAGACCATAAGGTCATCTGCAGGGCATACCAGGAGAGGCAGTCCTATAGGTACGAGTGTCCCAGGTCATATAGGGCTTTAAAGGTTAGAACCAACACCTTAAACTTAACCCTGTACTCCACTGGGAGACAGTGCAGCTGATAAAGCACTGGTTGGATGTAGTCCCATGGTGAAGACCCTATAAGTAGTCTTGACGCAGCATTCTGCACCCGCTGGAGTTTCTGGGTCACCTTCATGGGAAGCCCTGCATAGAGTCAGTTACAGTAATCAATCCTGGTGGTTTGGATCATAGTGGCTAGATCAGGGTGAGAAAGATAAGGAACCAACTGCTTGACACGGCGGAGATGGAAAAATGCTGCCTTTGCTGTAGCTGTAACCTGCGCCTCCATAGAGAGGGAGGCGTCGAGGGTTACACCCAGAGTCTTGACAGAAGGTGCTGGCACTAATTACTCCCCTGCAAGGGATAGGAGTTTACCCCCCAACCCCATGTCGTCTCAACCCAACCAGAAGACCTCTGTCTTTAAAGGATTTAGCTTCAACCAGCTCCCATGCAACCATCCAGCCACAGTTTCCAAACATCTGGTCAGTGTATCTGGGGCTGAATCAGGATGGCCATCCATCAACAGATAAAGTTGGTGTCATCAGCATATTGATGACAACCCAGCCCGAAGCTCCGAACAAGCTAGGCAAGAGGGTGCATAAAGATGTTAAATAGCATTGGGGAGAGGATTGCGCCCTGTGGCACTCCACACGCCAAGGGGTACCACGACGACAACTCCTCCCCTAGCACCACCCTCTGTCCCTGACCTGAAAGGAAATAGTGCAGCCATTGTAAGACTGTGCCTTGAATCCCCACGTCTGCAAGGCGATGGTCCAATAGTTCATGGTCAACCATGTCGAAGGCTGCTGACAGATCTTGAAGAAACAGCAGCCCAGACCCACCTCAGTCCAGCTGCCTACAGAGATCATCTGTTAGGGCGACCAGGGCCACCTCGGTCCCATGTCCAGGGTGAAAGCCAGACTGGAATGGATCCAAGGCCAATGTTTCACCCAGAAACCTATCAAGCTGTTCAGCAGCTGCTCTCTCAATTACCTTACCCAGGTACGAGAGGTTCAAAACCGGGTGGTAATTGGATAGATCTGGAGGATCTGGTGATGTTTTCTTTAAGAGCAGTCGCACCACTGCCTCCTTCAACTCCCCTGGGAATGTCCCTGTGCCAAGGGACAAATTGATGATATCACCCCGGGGGACCCGCACCTTGTTCGGGCACACTCTAATCAGCCAGGACGGGCACAGGTCAAGGGGGCAAGTGGTGGGCTTTCCAGCTTGGAGTAGTCTGTCCACATCGGCTGGGAGTATCTGGTCGAAGTGGTCCAGTGTAGGACCCAAAGACCATCGAGGTGCCTCCAGTTCTGTTGCTGTATCCAAATTGGCGGTGGAGTAGCAAGACTTTATCCGAGCTCGCAAATGTCTCACAGCTATGAATCAAATTTGTATTTAAATTCGGTTGTTCCTCTGGGGACGTTAAAGACCTAATTATACTAAAAAGTTGTGCCGGGTGAGAGCTAGCGGATGCGATGGAAGCTGAGAAGTAAAACTTCTTAGCAGCTTTCACTGCCATCTCATAGGCTTTCATAAGCGTCCTATAAGATGTTCTTGAGGCTCCATCACGAGCATGCCACCATATTCACTGTAGCCATCTAAGGTCTCCCTTCATTTTCCAGAGCTCCTCGGTAAACCAAGGGGCCCTGTTTCAGTGGGGTCGCAGAGGGCGCCTAGGTGCGATCTCATTGATGGCTGCCAAGAGCCAGTTATTCCAACCCTCAACGAGCTCATCTAATGAGCCGCTAGGGGGAGCAGGGTCCCGCAAGTCCTGACGGAATCCATCAGGATCTATCAGCCTTCGCGGGTAAGCCCAAATAGGCTTGCCACCCAGGCAGGCGTGGGTGGGAAGTCAATCCTAGCTTTCAGAGCGTAGTGATTGGACCATGGCACCACCATAGGGTCTGATCATGTCTATACCTGCGCCAAGGATCAAGTCCAGCGTGTACTATCCAGAGACTATCTAGAGCATGTATTATCCAGCACGTGCTATCCAGCGTGATCAACTCCTGCCCGGAAACCAGTATCCCCACTGTGGAAGTACGTGTGGATCCAGAATTGGCCTCCACAATCACTTACGGACTCATTGTTAAAACCGTGTTTATGGAAGACAGTCTTACTCGGCTACAAGTGATCACCAAAGAAGAAGAAAGAAGATCCAGCGTGTACTATCTAGAGACTCTGAATCTGTTTACTCTCTTTTCTAGTGTTTCTTCTGCTAGCTATTCCCCATCCAGTATTTCCCTGCCTTCTGAACTATGTCCCTCTGCAAACCACTGTTCCAAATCTATACTGAAGGAATGGGTTTCTGTGCAGTCAGGTTGAAACTGACCCAAAATCCGCATTTTTCCTTCTCCAAGGGAGCATTTCTAAAATGCATTAACTTGAGCTGTTCAGCAAATGCATAACAGAAACCCAGCTGTATAAACAAGTGCTCAAAGCCATCTCTTGCCGCAGCAAGAAAGCAGAAATATGCTTCCTGGAATCTTTGTCCCATGGGACATCACGAGGATCTAGTGAAGCAACAAGCCTGGATCTCAGCTAGTGAGTAAGTAGCCTGCTGAAATGCAGTCTGAGAAGGACAGAAACAGCAGTAAGAATGGTGGCAGGAGCTGAGCTGGGCATAGGTGCAGAGCTGGGTCTTGCCACAGGAGGGGGGGGGAGAAAGCTGATATCAGAAAGAAGAGTCTCTTTAAGCTGGCACCCTGCATCTAGAAGAAAGCTTAATTGCATTGAAACAGGAGTAGGCTGAGGGACACCCTGGGATGAAGACACAGGAGTAGGCTAAGATGCAGTCTGAGATGCAGGAAGAGCCCCAGACGTAAACTTCCTTGAAGTCTCAGGTGAGCCCTCAAACCCAGCAAAAGCCTCATATCAGCAAGCCAGCTCTGCTGCTCTGGATGAGGTCACTGGGGTATCACAAGCACTTAGCAATGTTAAAATTAAAAGCTGTTTGTAACTCTTTGTTCTGGGCCTCAGAGCCCAATCAGCTTCTGAACTGGCCTGCCCTGGTGCACCATGCTCCTGTTTTGGTTCGCGCGGCCCACTCAACCAAGAAATGTGGAGCTGTGCAGAGAACCCATTAAAAGGAACAGGCATGCCTCCACCAAAGATAGCATCAGAGGACCACTGAGGTCTGGGACATTCTGTAGAGCATCCAGCTAAACTCACGTCCCATTAGGATTTGTTAAACAATCAGGACATGATGCACTTAACGGCTCAAGGAACCAGCACCCACATCTCTGCTGCTCTTCAGAGCCACCCCAGAGCCCTCTTGTACCTTGAAGCCCATTAGAATGGGGCGAGCAGCCAAGAAGGCCCCTCTCGGCCTTATATAATGACTGTATTGAGCCTCAGACGGAGAGACATGTTGCTCAACAGAGAAAGAGCTGCCCCTTCTACTTACTGCCAGGAAACCTAGTCTGCTGTCTCCAAGCTTTCAGCCTTCAAAGCAGCCTCAACGTACCAAAAGTCTTTCCCATGGGGCAGGGCTTTTTCCTTGCTAACATGAAGCCACGCTTAGCTCATGCCTGGCCGCTTGGAGTCTGTGTTTTGCTCTGCCTCAGTTGTGGAGGTAAGTCCCACCTGCAGAACATAAAATAAGGCACACCACCAGTAAACATGTGCTGAATGTCCCTGGAGAAGAAAATTTCTTCCTGCCAGCAGCACTCTGACAGAAGCATCTTCTGTCCTTGTAATCCCTGCACAGTCCCAACTTTGGGTAGTTTTCTGCTGGAATGACGTTATGTTGGGTGGTGGGTATTATTTACTTGTTTAATAAATAGTCTCCTACAATTTCAATTTGTAAAAAAACAAACAAAAAACCCAACTTCCAAGCAGTTTACTGTATTCATAGCACAACCTCCACCCACATCCCTGCAAAAACACAGTTCACCGGCTAAGTATTCTGCAGAAAGCGTTTGATAATTGTCTGCCTGTTTCCGGCAGTGGAAAATGGCTGATCCCACACGATCAGACCTCAGCCGTTCCGATAATTCAGGGCTGATATGGGGGTAATTAGCCCTGGCAGCCACCCCAGGGCAGGGGAGGACTGTCTCGACGACCCACGGTCTGCCCCAGATTGCCGATGTGGCAGACGGCAGGGGCACTGGGTCACGGAGCAAGGGACGGCTGACACTCCTGCGACACCACCCCATAGCCGGATGCATCTGTTTGGGAAAATATAAAGATTTGGAAAACAGACAGACACGCTCTGAATTGAAGAAGCTGGGGGGAAACCTGCAGTATGTACAGTCTCTGGTGCAAAAGATCAAACTTCAAAGAGATCCTCATCATGACGTTTGGAATGTGGAGGGGCTTGGTATGTAAAAAACATTATTTTATCCTTAACATCAACAATCTGTAATGCATGCCAAGCCTCATTAAGAACTTAAATTGCTCTTCAAAAAGTGAGTTCAGATGGACTTTCATATATAATTGGGATCTACTCGCAGCCGCTTCTCTTCTAAGACCGGAAATGGCTGTTAAAGACGAAAACAAAGGACAAAATGGTTTCTACCCACCACGTCTTTATGGAATATCTGAAATACTTTCCTGATTAAGAGAAACAGGAGCTAACGGATGGTTGGTTATAAAGACTGGAAACAATATTACATATACA